GCAACTTAGAACTGAGGAGAAATTTCCTAACAGTTAGATCAATTAATCAGTGGAACAGCTTGCTTCCAGAAGTTGTGAATGCCCCAACACTGGAAGTCTTTAAGATGTTGGACAGCCATTTGTCTGGAATGGTATAGGGTTTCCTGCCTAGGCAGTGGGTTGGACTAGAAGACCTCCAAGGTCCCTTCCAACTCTGCTATTGTATTGTAATATCTTTCTCGTATCTCAATTTTATTTGCATATGCAGCCACCATGATAGGTCCACACCTTGATTCTGCAACTCTTGTTTGGTTTTAAGTTCCCCTTTCACATTTTAAATATCTTTATATGTTAAGATTTTTTCCAGATTTACTACATTTGGATGGATAAATGCTTCCATTGTTGAGAGCCAAACTGGAATTTTAATGTAAATTTTTGCTTTTACCTTTTCCCATACTGAAAGTACAGCATTTCTTATATAGTGTATTTGAAAATATCTATGAGTTTTGCTTTTGTTATACCATTAAAAAGCATGCCATCCTAATTGGAGATTGTGGACCTATCATGGTGACCACATATACAAATAAAATCGAGATATGAGAAAGATATTAAGAACTATGGTTTCTATAAAGAGCTTACAATATTTGACCAAATAATGTTTGGAGTAGATGAAAAGTTGATAAAGAAAATATACAATTTCTTGTTAAACTTAAAAATGGAAGATGAACAGGTAAAAGAGACAATGATAGTATGGGTGAAAATTTTTGGATATACTATAGACCGAGACAAATGGCAAAAACTCTGGGAAAGAAATTGTAAGTTGACAATGGCAACTACATATAAGGAAAATGTATATAAAATGTCTTATAGGTGACATTTACCACCAACAGATGAGCAAAGATGTTTAAAAGCATGTCTGCCATATGTTGGAAATGTAACCAGACAGTGGGGACGTATTATCATATGTGGTAGACATGTGTAAAAGCAAAGAGATATTGGACAAAAATACATACATGGTTGGAAAAAATGTTAAAACAACATATAGATTATAAACCAGAAATATTTTTGCTATGTGTGATAAAGGGAACCTATACTTAATATTACATGTTTTGACAGCAGCAAGAATTGTATTTGCACAGTACTGGAAAAATGAGGAAACACCTATAGAGGATGACGTAATTTAAAAAAAATTAAGATTGTGCAGAAATGGACCGATTGACATTAAAAATAAAAGAAAAAGAAGTAGTAGTGTTTTCGAACATGGGACTTGTTTTATAAATGGTTGGATAGTAGAGATAGAAATTAGGAGTGGAAAAAGTATTACTATATATAAATAAGTTGATCCAGACAATACACTGTTCACTAAGCACTTATGTATGTAATGTGAAAATATATAAATAAACTGTTAAAAAAAAGACTGTAAAGTCAGGTGTAGCCACAGGGTGACCTGCTTAATGGCATGACTTACAACCGTAATTCTGGGCTCAAGTTGAGGACTACCTGAACATACAATTTACTCAGTGTTGAATAACAACAAAAAATGACTTGACTGTGCTCAAAGTCCTTGGAACAAGCCTGTTTCACCTCACAAAATGCCATGTTGTGTGAAGTGCTCTGCTCAAAATGGACGCGTACACACTCAGTTGCATTCTTCCTATGAGGAATGGACCATCAGGTAAATACAGGTAAAATTGCATCAACGGGCCCATCTTCCGTTACCTTCACCCTCACCTGCTCAAACTCATCAGTGATGGTCTTAGGTTCTTCATGCCTCTGAAACCACATCATGTACTTCGTATGGAAGCGCCACGATTGCTTCTTCAGTGCCTTTGCTGCCAGGTATTGTGCCTTCGTACCCTGTGAAGTGAGAGAGGAAAAACAGATCAGAGCTCTGGGGTTTGCAGGTTGAGGGGAGAGATGCCGATCATCCCACGTGCCAAGTAGTCCTCAGGCATGACCCAGCAAGGAGGCAGCACAATTCCTCTCCAACTACCAAAGGGGATGGAGGGAGAGGCTTTCTGTTACCTCCAGGTAGTAGAAGATGAAGAAAAGAGTCTCTGTGGAGAGGCGCTGGTAGAATTCCACTGTGTCGGAGTGTGGAGGAGGCATCTGGTGGTGGTATGGAGGAGTCGGACAGGG